CTGGAGGCAGGGTAAAATCTACACGAAGGAGGCTACTCGAGCGACTTAGCGACTCTACTAGACCGCCTTCTAGGTGCGGCTGCAGGAAGTCAACAGTAAGCCAACAGAATTCTGAGCAGCGGCCCAGTTTAACAACTTTCGTGAACAAGCCGACTCTCCGTGAGCTACTTGTATCCTTGCTTATTGACCTAGTTCAGCTCAAGATTCCTGAATGAGATACCTCCCCCTGGAAGCTGCCAAAAATCCGAGGTTCTCAAGCAAAGCACAGCTTTTTGCCCTTTGCCGCCTCCTACACGGAGTATCTGGGGACCAGGAAGATCTGCAAGGACTGCCACTTCCTGACAAACTAATGTTTTGTACAGGTTGATATATAGGTTGATCAGTTGGTAACTGATTGCATCATGCCTGGCTGCACTAGATTCCTGGAACAGATTATGCCTGCCTTTAGGTCAGAAGTGCTGCCGAATCGTCAAACTCTACGCGCAAACATAGTACATATTACATCAACATGTGTAGGATTCGCAGGAACCAAGCGCATGACAATCCCATGCTGCCTCAAGCTGAGGCTTCCCGACGGCTTCGGCCTTCGCAAAGCGCATCGATGCTGACAAACCCTCAAAGCTTGATTGCGACAGCGAAGTCAGCGAAGTATGGACTTCGCCTTGGCCTTCACGTTGCTTGCACCCGCACACATTTGCTGGTGGCTGCTCGCTTCTTGTTGCCAGTCCTCTCCGACACAAATCTCACAAAAAATTTTGTGAATTCATTTCAAGGCCACAGAACAACTGGAGTTCGGAAGTCAGTGCTGCTGTTCGATAATGAAATTATCGCGGGGTCCTGAACCTGCGGCCGGGATCCAGGAGGAAGAACTCCCGCCAAGATGCTCTCTGCCTCATCGAGGTTAAGCTTGGGAGTCTTGCAAGTGCTGCGAAGCTGTCATCTGAAGGCTTGAATGTTACAGGTAGTTAAGAGCAACGAAGCTCGGCAGAACCAGAGTGAGCAAAATGGATTGCTTGCATATTAGTTTGTCTGCGATGGGCCGGATGCGGCATGCAGATCATCTCGAAGTGTTCGATTTTGTTGACTTGAAAAGCACACGACTGAGCAACTAGGTTTGAGTCATGCCAAGAAACAATGAAAAAACTGCTGTTGCTGCTGGCCTGCTGCAAGCTGTAGCGCTGATACCCATATGCACCAGTGTCCTAGCAGACGGATGCATCGTTTCCATGCCTGGTAGACTCAAGTCAACTGACAGGCAACAATTTGCCTCACTATCAGCAGCCACCCACACGCCGACATGACAGCGAGTGCCTGCCTGTCGCAGGATTTGCAAGTTACGTGGCAGAACCGGAAATTTCGTCGGATGACGGCCCAAGTTCGACAGTTCGTTCTCTCAGCACTCTGACTTACGCGACTGTGGGGAATGCGGTCAAGGACGATAAGCTAAAGTAGAAATGGGCTCCAAGTCGACCCCATCCTCCGCCTTCCCCCTCGGCCCCTCACCCAGGTGCAGGAAGACTGTCAAAAAAGTCACATTCTACTTCGACATGTGTTGTCCAAAGCGGCTGCTGGGGCAGCCCCATCTCCGACGGCACAACTTCAGCGAGCAATTGCAGGCTGTCGCCAGCACAAGCCACAAACTCGCTGACAGAAGGAGACTGTATAGTGCGGAAGATGGAGGAGTGTTAGGTTTTTTGCGATGAATCAGCGGAGACATTCCATGGCACTAAGCATCAGGGTGCACCTCCAGGTGCTCCACACCATGCAGATTGCTGCTGCTCGCAGCAATTGCTACCTGAAGGCTGAAGCTGAAGCCATCTTTGCACCGACGGAAACGGAGACGGGAACTGAGATTCGAGCCATACGACCTGTTGCAGGTCGTAGCCGAACTCGCTCTTGGCTTTGGCTGGCAAAGAAGAAATCACCTGCAACCAGTGCTCTTGCGCATCAAAGCGTCACCACGACCGAATTGGCTCTAGGAAGCTGCGGAACGCCTCCTCGAAAGTCCCCTCCTTCCGGTCCATGCAGATAGAGATACGCCGCATGCGTGCGTGGGTCCCCAGTCTGACAGAGAATGCATGGGAAAAACCAGCATAGGACATGTAGGAATACGTCGAGGGAAGTCTGGCAAGCTTGGAGCTTACCATATGTTGGAGCCTTTGTTCAAATCAGTGCTCTGCCTCCGAGGCGATGCAAGACTCGCTCACGTCGTCGGCTGGCTCCTTGTACAGACACACCCCGTTTGCTCTCGTGCGACAACAAAACGACAGCACCTGGAGCACGGCCACTGTAATCATTAAGTTCATCAGAGGAGAACAAAACGGATCAAAGATGCAACGCAACTTGCCAGTTCCCTCCTGGTATTTGCAACCATCGTCCGAGTGCATGGGATGGCTGTCGCCTGCCTGCAGTTGACATCAGCTCGCAAAAGTCATCGAAAGCGCAGGATGCAAACGCTGAGAAGCCTCTGCCGCTCCCTTTGGATCCTTGTGTCGGCATACCAGCTGTGCGAAGTGGAGGGTAGCTTGCCTGAGGGTATGACAGTTTCTCCGTTTCCAGCAGTCAGAGATAAGCCTGCTGGCCTCAAACCGAAGAGATTACCCAGCAGCGACCCTGGCATGTGCTCATTCAGAAGCTTGCCAAATGGGAGCAACAGTACTGTCTCGAGTGTCCCTGTACGTAGTCCAGTGCGGCAAGGCTGCTCATAGTGCGCACTACCTCGTGCAATTGAGTCAGTAGCAAGTTTTGACTGTTTCGCAACACTCGTTGTGACGATGTGCACGTAGAACACGCAATGTTTACTTGGGCGGGGAAGCGCGGACTCTCGCACTGCAACAAGGGCGAGGGATCCCCGATCAAACGCAGGCACGTTCATCATGCGTTGCATCCAAATCCCGCAGAGGTCAACGAAGTCACACGCTGCATGCAACAGAACAACCGAGCGCTGTTGGCATCCCCACTTCGCCGCTGTCCTTTGCACGCTCTAGGCTTCCCTGCTTCGGGGCCATACGCTTCTTCCACGCTCAGAATGGACTTGTTTAATGTGCGCATGCAACCCTGCAGTACCTGGCAGTGAGTCTCGGTGCGCTTTCGAGTCCACGGCAACTACCGTCACGCAGACCGCAGTTGCCTGCATTTGCAAACGATGCACCTCCACGAAGCTGCGCGCAAAGGCCAATGCCTCTCGGCGACCTTCTTGTGCCTGGCAAGACGAAGATGTCTATGCCTCTAAGTTGAAGATATTCCCGAACGAAGCTCTGGACACAGGGCTACCTGGCGTACAGCCCAGTCAGCAGCATCCAGGAGCTGAACTCCAGCCCAAACCTAGCAGGATCTTCACAACGCATGTCAATTTAATCACATCCCGGTCTTCTGCGAATTCCAGGCCTCATCCGGCTTGAAGGGACGAGCTCGACCGCCATAACCATCCCCAGGAACAACCACCTGAATCTTTCTCGCACAGAGGCGTCATTCATCCTACAAGTATGCTACACTTTGCTTGACTGCCTTGGCTTTCTATCGCTCTTTGCCCTGCCTCGGGTGCCAGTGCGAGCAGGTCTTTCAGCAATATAGGGGACACAGCGTCCTGCAACGACAAGAAAAGCCCTATGTGCCTCAGACTCCATTCCACTATATTCCACTTCTTGTTCTCTCACAGCTTCAAACCCTTCACAGCCACAACAGGCTTGTAGCACTGATCAGGATCCTCAAAGAGAAAACGCCCACGAAGCTCTTCATGCACTGTGAAGTTGCCGCAGCCCCCGCAACGTAGCTCCATGAAGCGCGGGCGCCTGTGTTGAAACATAATGACACCGGCAGCACAAGCGCACACTGCCGAATACGGTGATATACTTTGCCAAAGCGCTTGAGACAGTCTCCATCTTCGAACATCCTGCTGTCGGTTCGGGATGATTAAAGCGAGAAGCAATACAACTCTCTGGGGCGTGGCACCTCTTTGCCTTTGCCTTAACTTCAGCACATCATGAGCCATGTAGAAAGCCTATGTAGCACGAACGGGAGCACAAAGCCCAGAGCTGCAAATTTATCCACAGGTCCTGCTGCAGTCGATGTCGCCAACATTGACCCTGCACTGCCAGAAAGCGACACACTGTACTTGAGAGGCTGGTGCTGGAAGGGCTTTCTTCGGCGTTCGGCACAGCACGTTGATGTTATGAACGAGATGGTCAAGGAGGCGTTAAAAGCATTTTAGCAGGCTACCTCAGCTCCCGAAGCTCTGTGCAACTCTTCAAAGATGCTTGTGCCCACATCAACCTTTCTGAACTCGTGACTTACTTAAAGTCATGCCCATCGGAGATGTCTCAGTACAGTAAGCTCATGGATCGGGAGAAGACCTTTCAAACTACAGCAGCCATTCTAGTAATGCTCACCGTCCGGGCCACCCGACTCACAGATCACGGATTGGAAGAGGGCAATCGTTGAGGCCTTCTGTGAAGAGCACGTAACACCAGCACGAGACTCCTTCACACAAGTCGTCACCAGGAACACTGAGTCTAGGGCGACAATTCCTGCTCTCATTGGCCCACTTGGACCTGAGCGCTCAGCTCGAAAGCTTCAGGGCCCGGTCCAACTGCCTGGCCTCTACTCGCACCCGCAAAAAGGATGGGCTTGGGATTGCTCCTTGCGCGACTTCCTCCAGTGGACATTGGCCCGGCTCGTGCTCCTACTGTGATGCTCTTCAAAATATATACTGGTGGCTCTTGGTATATTAACATGTGCATACATGCATATGCACACACTCAGATAATAAACAGTGTTTGAAAGATACCTGATCAACCAATCTACCTATCTGTCTATCTGTCTAGCTACCTCTCTACGGATACTCAACAACTTATGTTCAAAACGTACGAAGGTCTGTTATTGATAACTACGTGCATACATGCATGCGTACATGCAGCCAAGCACTCACGCAAACAACATACAAACACACACACACATGTACATGTCCATACATATACACACACGCACGCACAAACATACATCCATGCATGCACACATGCATACGTACATACATGCTCAAAGTTAAATACAAGTATACACACATACACACATTCACACATTCGCACATACACACATACATGCATACATACATACATACATACATACATGCATGCATACATACATACGTACATACATACATACATACATACATACAAACAAACAAACAAATCTACACACATGCATATGCACCTACACACACCCACACTTAGACAAATACTATATCTACATACTTACCCACATACCTGCATAGATGCATAAAAACTCACATACGAACATACCTGTCTACGGCATGCATGCGCGCGTGCATGCATGCATGCATGACTGCATGCCTGGATGCACGGTGCAGACATAAGTACATACCAACAAACATACATTCATACAGACTGGACATACCACACTACGACCCCATGCTGAGCTTCGTGCTTGCAAGTCTCATCCGACAGATGCTGAATGGAGCTCATGGTTTTAAGAAGTGCTCAACTAGCTGATTGTCTGTTGCTCACGTTAGGAATGCAGAATAGTGCTTGGAAGAATTTAACACGATTTCCTATGCCATGTTGTTTGTAAACTCACAGGCCAGGTGACTTGACTGTGGTCGTTCGTTTGACGAATTTCGTGCATCCTTCACGCCTTCGGTATGCACTTTTGAAACTTGCAGTGCTCTTGCATATTGCATGTTGTCAGAAGCCATCACGTGCGCAGTGCGGCGCCTGAGCCTTATCCACCAGGACACGACGAAATTCGGTTGGAGCGTCGGCGCGAGCCGCAAGCCTGGCTGGCATTTTGCAGCGAAAATTGCCGAGACGGCCAAGACAAATGATGCGAAACGATGCGCAAAGCCACAGGGCGGGTAGACAGGCTGCTCGACATATGCAGCAGTGCACCTGGAAAGCATAAGATCAGTCACTCGGCGCCGAGGGCCGAGAGATGCAAAACCTGGCTGGCCTAACGGAAGATCCGATGCCCGCCGCGAGAAGTTGTCCGCGACGCGCTCCAGCAGAAGGGTGTCCTTTCCAACAGTCAGCAGATCGCCCGTCTCAACTTTTACGTCACAAATCACGCGCTGGTAGTCGCAATTCTTCTGTCAAAGGGCCGGCAAGCCCCCCTTGTCGTTGAGTTGCACCAGTGAACGTGCAAAGTGGGCGAGTTCCAGATGCCTCCGAGGTGGCAAGTGAGGCCAGATTCCCCTTGCCATGCAGCAGCCTATTCTGAAGCAGAAGTGTTGCGACAACAGCCTCTAGACTTCTGGACAGCACTTGTGTCTGGCGCGAAATGCGCGAATTACAACGATTGTCAGGATACATCAGGATCGCAGCATGTCACAGCGCTATTGCTGTTAATGTGGACACTTCTCATGGTTCTGGTACATGGTGGAACAGACACAAAATTCACAACCGCTGGAGAGCCACACCCTGCCGCAGTTTGCGCCTCATGTTGCCAAGCTTCTTCTCAGCCTTCATCTGCAACCTGGCATATAACAGGACTTTATCGTCCACCCGACAACTCAGACTTGGTGCATACTCCAAGCTGTGGTGACGACCTGTGGCGACAGAGAATGTCCGGCAGGTGGCAGCATGATTCAGCATGATCATGGACTGCAATCTCAGAAGAGGGAGGAAGAGAGAGTAACAGCGGAAGCAGTAAAGAGTCGTTCAGAATTCGTGGCGGTAATACTCGCGGCAGAATGCCACAGCCTCCAGACGCACCTGGCAAGCAAAATCGTGTTCATGGTTCCCGAATTCCTGAACCCCGCCGTTGAAACAAGAGAAGACTAAGTGACTAAGCGTTGGTTCACGAAAAAGGCCCTCTAACGAAAGGCTTACAGTAACAAGTGTTGGCCTGCGATTAATATAGTGGCAGCACCGGTTGTTCAAGTTTGTCGCTACTCTTCTGGCTTGATGCGGCCCTGAAGAAGAAACAACACGGAGTCAGTCGCACAAATGTTGGAGTGCACCTGCGGCAGATGCTGGACAGAGAACTCCGCAAGAAATCGAAGGGCAAGGACCACATCCTCAAGGACATCTCAACATGGCTTTCCAGATTCTGCGGCAGGGCAATGCAGGTCTACCGTCTACAGAGTACGCCGAGCCACTCATTGCAAACATAGTCGCTGTGAACCCAACACTCGAACTGACTTAGTCAGCAACAATGGGTCTCCAGTGATGACGCCGCAAGCGCCACCGCAGCTCGGCGAGCACAGGCCTGCCACAAATTGTGCCAATGTCCAAAGCTTTATGAAAGAAATGATGTGCGTGACTGAATTCAATTCGAGCCCTTGTCTCATCATGTCTCAACTACAGTAACTACAGCTCTTGGAACATGCCGGTGGATGCCTCAGGGCTCCAACCCAGGGGCAGTAATTCAGGCGGCGCAGGGATTGAAGACACAGAGAGTAGTCCCTGATCAGCCCAAATTGCAAAATGCTCAGGCGAAAGTGTGTCAAAGTGTCACAGCTCTGCCAAGGCAGGTGCCTGACGGTACCCCGCCGGAGCTCTGCGCCGCAGCGGAGGGCCTTGAATGCTTCGAAACTGACTTCGAAACTCTCACTTCATTTCGCCGGTTGAGGTCGAGATGGAGATCGAACCCTTTCAACTAACTTTGCACTGACCTCAGTCAGACCGCACAGCAAGTAGTCGTCTCGCCATGACACCTACAAGCAAGCACGGCTGTGACCGCAAGACGATTCCGAATGTCCCTGCTGGCGGCCATGCCTGCGCGCAGCTGTCTAGAATTCCGGCCACATGGCTGACCTGGCAGCGCCCCCCGATAAAGTTCACGAAAAATTACAGTACGTACGCCTACCTGATATGCATGCCTCACGCTTCAGGGCAGCAGGGCGTGGATTGAAATAGTCGAGAACAGAAACACACAGACACAGGCGACACATTTCATCACGCTTCTCTGTCGGCTTATGCAATTCCCGGCCTGCCTGCCTCGTTCCAACATGTTACAACTGGGGAAGCGGTTCTGGACCGGTCGAGTTCTGAAAGAGCTTGCACCTTGAAGTGGCGCAGGGAATAAACCGCGGTTCGGCTCAGCGCCTCCCAGGTCCTGCCAAGCTCTGCAGAACTGGAGCGCGACATGCGAAACATCGCGAAACTCAACATGCTCTGTCCTTTTGTCACGGGTCCCGGACTTGGCGGCCTGCCGGAACTGCAGAGGCCTCACAGAACTTCAGAGAATGCTGCACGCAATAATAATGATCGGAGAACTGCGCAGAATCGAAGACCACAAGTGCAACGGCCACATATTGCGCAAGAATGGCACTTCGGTTGCACACTAAGCCACCCGCACATCTTCAGGGCTTGCCAGCTTTGTGAACAAGTCCAAGCTCTCTCGTGACAGATGGGGTTTGGCCTTTACGAAGCAGTTGAGCATTTAAGCTGAAGCACAAAGCCGCACATAACAGTGGCCTGTGGCTTCGAGATGCGTTCAAAGATCGATGCTGGCTCATCCAGCACTGCAGTGGAGGTGGAGGACGCCACGTCTGGCGCAGGCGAGGATGGCGTTGAGAGGTACCTTCCACCAAATCGGTCAGTCCCTAGCAGCAAAATCAGGTTGTCCTTATCTCCCTTGCTCGGCCTGCCCCTTGGCGCAGGCGGCTCGCCGGCGCACAGCCGGGCACCAAGCCGCGTGCCAGGGCGGCGAAGCATTGGATGTTCACATCGTGAGAAAAGACAAAAACTGAAGGAAATCCACTTCGAACGAGTCACTCTCAAGTCCGGTGCTGTGGAGAAAGGTCAGGGGTAAATTCTACTGATACTCATGAGCTTCTCATGTCCATCAAGGACTCGGGCCATCACATAGAACTGCAACACCCGTGCTACCCTTGATCGTTTCGGAACAATCCCTGACTGTTATTGACTATAAGAGTATAAAAGCTTTGTTCAACCTTCGGCTTATGTTGGGGCGAAATGTGTACATATTTCTGCCCTACAGGTTGGATTCACACATCCGACTACACACCTTCCAAATATCTGCTAGCAAAGCTTCCTGTGAAGCTTTGCCATCTGCTGTGCCCCATTGGTGATGCCTCCACAACCCCCAGCTCACCGATAAATCAGTCCCAGTCAGACGCCGTGGGCTTTGAACATGGCAAGGCCACGAAAGCCACCCTCCAACGAAAGCCTTGCATCCCCGCGCTGCAAGGCTCCGTGCTGCTTTGCGGGAGTGCATGTTGAGAGTCAACCCCCACCCTAAAGCCTTTGCACTTGACATCACTTGATTCTCCCTCTGGACTCTCTTGGGTGACATGATGCTGAAGTCGTCTCCCAGGTTGTGGGGATTCTAGTTATAACAGCACTCCCAAACTCAGATTGGTGGTAGTGTGCTTCCTCCAGCAACTTCTCCCAGGGTTGAAATCGCAGGCCGCGCAGCGAGCCGAAACCGCTCGCTCCTGACATTAACTTTGCCAGACTATGCCGACATTGGTTTTGCAGGGAGCCTCGCCGCCGGAGATCGACGTGTCTAGAGTTTGGTGCATGCAACAGCTCATTGAGTTTGAGTTCGCTTTGTCTGCGCGGCCAAAGGTCTCGGTGCCAGGCCAAGGCTGAGAACATGTCAGCTCGAACATGCTCGTGCATTTTGACATGCTCCTGATTGAACATCCTTTGAACATGGAATGGGTCTCGTACCCCATGAATATCCCAGACCAGGGACAACATCGGCCATGGATGTCGTGTCGTTGCATACAATTTCGTGCAAGACGCACATGCAAATCAGTGGCTGGGGTCGCGGGTCTGTCACCGCAGAGGCTTCGGCTGCTTCGGCGAGAAATGCGGAATGGCCTGTGGCTGTATGTGGGGCCTCAGAGAACATGTCCTGGCGGTTCCGGGCTCTCTTTCAACCCCCATATCTTCAGGAACTGCAGCGTGATTCTCTTCGACAATCCGGGAGTCTGCTGCTCCGATTTTTCAAAGCACGCTCACGGGAGAGTGCGAACATCTCTCCAAGGCTGCACTGTGACTGTTGTCTCATCGGCGGTTGCTGCGAATCGCCACAAGAAGAATCTGTCATTGTTGAAGGTGGCGGAAAACTTGTGGAGGAAGCTGAGCAGAAAGCTGAGGCTTGTCCGAGCTGCTGCAGCTGTTGCTGCGAAGGCTGCCTGCTGCAGCATTCCTGCCACACCCCCGACTTCTTCTCTAGGGCAATTCCTGCTGGCAAAGGCTGCTGGACCGTGCTCCTTTACCCCTTCCATGAATGCCCGGTTCACCTCGGTCAAGTTGCCGATAACTTCTGAGATTTCGTCTTGGGAGCCCTGACAAGTCGCCCAACCTCAGGCAAGTGCTGAGACACGTGGTCGACCCTTCATGAGGACGGAGCTGGAAGGCATCTTGCCGCATCCCCTTGCTGCTCGCTCGGCACAAGGGCTCCTGGCCTGCCTATGCCTGCCTTTCTCCCTGCCTAAAAATTCCTCCAACGGTGCTGCTCCCGCTTGCTACTTGCAGGCTTTTGCTCCCACTGCCGCCTCCCGTCCAAGGATGCCGCGGGCCCGCCCCGCCTTCTGACGAACAGACATGGCCCGACCTGACCTGCGGACAAAGCTCGTATCAGTGTGGGGAGATGGTTGATCTGAAGATGAATACCCTGAACTGCAAGCTACACTCAACAGGAGCTCTGGTTAACATGGCACTTGAGGCACAGAGACCAGTCACCAACAAGCAAGCCAGAACACCTGAAACCCGACAAGACTGCTGACTCGTCGTACACATGCTAGAAACTGAGGCAAGGCGCAGCTGTTTCTTTCCATGCGGATTTCTGAGCACGGGGTCTACCCCAACTGTCAGCCAGCTTAGCCCGTCGTTCCAGTTCGGAAATCGCGCAGGCATCGCATGTCTCCTTGCTCTGAAGGTTAGTCGGTTCGGACAGCCCCGCTGACGGTGGGTCCGGCTCAGCATGCATGCTGCTTGTTCGCCTAAGTACAACCACCAAAGCCAGCAAGCGTCTACGGTCAGTGAGAGAATCAAGCTGTCCATGACAAGTCCAGGAATGACTACGGACATATTGTACCATCACCAGGAACATACATCGTCACGTTCTGAGATGAAGGCATACAGCAGCAGCGGCGACTTTCCTTTGCAGCCTGCTTGCCAAGCCTGGTTCCTGAGTTTCTTCATCCTACATAGCGTGGATGACAGAGACTGAGGAAAACCAGCGCCCGGCCCGAAGGAGTATGCAGCGGCCAGGCCAAAAAGCAAGAATAAGGCCTGGCCATCTGCAAAGGCTCTTGCCATCAGAGGCAGTCCAACAGCATGCTTCACTTGTGGCATATCACGGGCAGACTCACAAATTAGCAATTGTCCTGCTTTCAGCATCGTGTGTTCAGGTAAATTTCGGCATCTGTTGTCCCGGGGCCTTGCGCAGGAGCGTGCCGAAACCTGCTGATTGGGAGTGGATGCAGGGTCACCACAAAGCGAGAATGCGGTTCTCCTCGCCATCTGTAAACAGAACCTTCAAGCCCTTGGCCTGCTGGCTTGCTCTGCTTGGCCACAAGCTCTTCCTCCAAGATGCCGCACAACCAAACGAAGCGATGCTAAGGTACAACCCGTGTTGAACCGGAAAGAAGTCTCAACCGGATGCTGTGCCAACAAGCGCCGATGCCTCGGAAGACCAAGGAAGCTCTGTGGCTGGCGTGGCGGACGGCGCAGCCTTCTCAAACAACCCGACAACTGTCATGAAAAGCGCGGATTTCTTGAGATTTCTGCAGAGCAATGCGGCACACACGGCCAGCTCTGCCAAAGAGAGACTGATACATGGGAAGAGGCACCTCCAGGTATCGTTTCATGTCCTCCTGCAAACATCCAACACTGGAAGCGTCACTGCAATCGTTGCAGCCGTTTAGAGAAAATCCGGTCCTTTGTAGCCGAGACGGACTGGCCCCTGGCCTTGCAGAGAAACGGAGTGACAACAGTGAACAGAAAAGGCAGCAGATACAGCAGCCATGCTTCTCGCACCTTTCCCACGCCCAAGCGCCAGCAGGCCTGCATCCACTCGTCGGCAGTCATGGGATTTATCTTGCCCGCGACGTGAGGGTACGGACACCTGGGCAGGTTTGCTTTCCAGCTGACTCTTAGCGGACACGTGCGACTCAATCGCGCTAAGATCGGTACTCACGCGGATAGGCGTGGTGCCTCGAAGGAGCCCCCTTCTAGAGCATACTTTGATCGCAACCACCAACAGTCTTTAAGAACAGAGCAGCCACTGTGCAAAGAGGCGCCCGTGCCTGCATGACAAGCAATCTTTTTCACTTGGAAACACCACTGCGATCGCCAAGGCTGCCGAGGAGCAGTGGGACAGCACCACCATGTTCCCTGGCAACCTGCCCAGTCGATCTTTACCACAAGTGAACGCACAAGACTCGAACCGCAATTCAGTCGCAGCACGAAGAAGGTAATATCGTACCTACGAACGACCGAGGACTGAGATCAGACTGTGCGTCTACAATATGTTCCACCATGACGACCAGTCACCCGGTTCATGAACCGATCTCGCATGACAAGCAATTACCGACCCTTTCTCGATCGGCGTTCTTGATGCATGCAAACCAAGGCCCATCCTCACCCAGACGATCTGCCAATGGACGCGAGAGCCTCACTCGAACTCTCGTGGTAGGTGACGGCGCTTTAGATATTAAAGCATATACATACATACATAAATACATACATACATACATACATACATACGTGCGTACGTAGGTACGTACGTACGTACATACACACATGCATACATGCCTACGTACATGGGTATATACATGCATGACATATGCAAATGCTTACATAACATACAATTGAGAAAACAACTGCACATGTGTGTATAAGCAGAATGAGTATTCGTTGTCATTGCCGAACCAAAGTCGAAGAAACAGTCGTACTAGCACTAGCACTAGTACTAGTGCCCGTCGTACAAGTAGTACTAAGTAGTAGCAGTAGCAGTAGGAGCAGGAGTGGTAGCACCAGCAGTGGCAGTAGTAGTAGTCGTCGTCGTCGTCGTAGTCGTAGTAGTAGTATTAGTCGTAGTCGTAGTAGTAGTAGTAGTAGTAGCAGGAGCAGCAGCAGCAGCAGCAGCAGCAGCAGCAGCAGCAGTAGCAACAGTCGTAAATGGTAGGCAATGACTTCTAAATAAAGAGAAACATGATGGAAACACCTGGCAATTGG